TATACTTAATATTTGATAAGTAAACAAGAGTTATGGTTAACTTTGCTCATTTTAATTAATCATATTATCCTCAGATTATTATGAATGAAAGTAATTTCCATTTCTTATTTAGATAAAAACATTGAGGCAAAAATAAGAAATACTTTCACACTGTACCCAATATTACATTGATTCTATTTAGTCCTTATTTTTATATGAATATATTTTTATTAAATTAATAATTGAATTTTATATCTGCAAACATTAATTTTACAATGTGTGTATTTTTGCTTGATCAGTTATCATTATTTTGAGTTTTTGTGCAGGTTCAGTAAGAATATTTTCGTGTGAAATAAAGAAGGTAGTGTTTTATTGCATTTTCCAGTTTGATGAGTTCAATGCATGGCTTATTCATAGAAATCTTATATTAATACTTTTGTTTTTTCTAATGAAGATATAAAGGCCACCATCAGTAATACCATAAAGTAATAGAAAAAAAATAGTATTGTGTTAAGTCTACGAAGTAAATTAAAATATGCACAAAAATGAAGCCTGTTTAACTGGTAACTCAAGACAATTTCAGTTTATATAAAAAAATGTTTAAACTGAAGTGGGCTAGAAATAATTAAACTTACTTAATAAAGTTTTTGAAAGTTGGTTATTGTTATTTATAAATTTAATGGAAAATTCAAATATCAGTACTTCTTAAATAAAACTAATAATATACCTAAAATGGTTTAAACTTTGAACCTTTTATATAAACTCTCCAAAAGATGGTCTCCAAATGTTTTTAATAATTGCTTTTTAAGTGGATGCTCTTTCTCATTGAAAGTTAATATTAAATGGTGATATAGCAGAAGTTAGACATGCATAGAAATATAAGGCAAATATATATATATATATATATATATATATATATAGATAGATAGATAGATAGTTAGTTTTGGGGCAGCAGATTGTTATTTAAATATATATTATTAAATATAACAGACAATGAATGTCTATTATGTCTGATCATGAGCCATTCTAATGTTCAAATGTTTGCTTTAATTTCTGGTGAAAATAAAGTCAAAAATTGTCCAGCTTAGGACCAACTTAATAAAAAAAATATCTAAATGTTGGATAATTTTTGTCTTTATTTTCACCAGAAATTAAAGCAAACATTTGAACATTAGAACACCTCATGATCAGACATAATAGACATTGTCTGTTATAGTTTTATATATATATATATATATATATATATATATATATATATATATATATATATATATATATATATATATATATATATATAAGAGCAGACTTTGAATTCTATAGGGACTTTTTTTTCATTTTAACACTTTAAATTCTTTGTTTTTAACTATAAGCAGTAGTTAGTTATGTAGTAATAATGAAACTGAAAATAACATTAACTAAATTATGATGGCAAGAATATCTAATACTGCTAACTACAAAATTAAGTGGCTGGAGAACAAGGATATCCAGTGTACAGGTTGCTACACATAATTTCCTGTATTTCTAAAGAGGCATGAAGTAATTAAACAATTTTATTCTTTCTCTCTCTCTCTCTCACACATACAAATAAGTAATACTAATAGATGTACCAATAGCAAAAATTACATTTGAAAATACAATTTCCAAATTTGCTTACAATTCTTGATATTATTAAATGATTTTTCTTTAATATTTATAAAATATACATAATGCTTCATAGCAACAATGGCAAGCACACCCACATATATACAAAAAATATGGTTATTTAAAAGAAAACGTATAAGCTACAGTACACTCTACTTACAGTAATCTTACCCATTTTAATTATATCATACATAATATAGTGTGTAGATAATTTCTTTTTAAGCATAAAGAAAAAAAATCTGTTAACTAGTCTAAAGACTAAAAAAAAAACCTGACAGCTGCATCACTAGTAAATTGTAAGTAAGAATTTGCAGTTGTTTGCGTAGTGACAATTGATGATGGTCATTTTTTTGACAAAAATAAAAATAAAAAGCTACTGAAAAGAAAGAAAAAAATTGATCAACTTCAAATGAAATAAAAAAATTATTAATGGTTTATACAAGCATGGATCAGTGAGTGAACCCAAAAATTGAAACCGGCTCTAAATGATATCTTATTACAACAGGTTTTCGTCTATGTCGTCTGGCCTTTAGAGAATCTTCATAATCACACACACACACACACTATTTTTTTAAAAAAAATATATATTTTTTATATGGACCAAACAAAGTACTGTCAGCCTGTTATACAATTATCTGCTAATAATGTCTGAGTCAAAAACCTACTGGCAATCAAGAAGACCAAATGAGTAATTTAAAAAAAAAAACATGATCCTATTGCTAACACTAGTAATTGTTAGTCCAATCACAACTTTGTGCCGGTTGCGGGCCTCCATAGTTTTGTCCTATGTTAAACTACTTTATTTGACGTCACTTCCTGTTGCTTTGTGCGCACAAACATTCTGCGCATTTTGAGTAGACCACCGACAGTAAGCTTCTGTGTGGCTGTCTGTCGGACTTCAAACAAGCTCGCCTCTGCTGTTGTTTTTTTTTTTATCATCTTCACACGTTGATTTGCTTACAAAGACGACCATCTAGGCCCTGATGAGAGCCACCTGAACCGCGTGCACGGATGCATTCGCTCGCCGAGCGGGCGCAAACGACCGACCAGCCCTGCGGAAGAAGAAGAAGGAGAAGAAGAAGTGGTTGAGAAAAGAAGTCGAGCGGCAGTAGGGCTGGCAGTGGTAGCAGCAGCAGGATTACAGTAGTGGTAGCAGTAGGGCCAAAAGACGAAGAAGGAGGAGAAGGAGAAGATGTAAATGTATGTCATTGCCTCGTTATGGTGACAGACAGACAGGCTGACCAGAGAATCCTTATTCATTATGTATTACTACTACTACGATCGGAGATTCAAAGAGCAGTGAAAAGTCTGACATTAGAGGGGAAACCAAAATAATAAGGGGGCTGTCCCCTTTTGCTATGAAGATTCTTCTTCCACGGGGAATAAAATAAGGTTACCGTGGTCTGGTTTTCTCTGTCTCTGTCTGTCTGTCTCTTTAGCCCTAACCCTCTTCTTCTTGTGCAGGAAGGAAGGAAAGAAGGAAGGAAAGCTGGATTGGTTTCGGTGCGTGAACGACTACGATGATGGGAAAGCGCTGAGTTATTATCGCGATTGCCCAGTTTTTAGTTTTTTGTGCTCCCTCTACTGACCATACCAACGCCTTTATCAACAGTCAATACTATCACCAACAGCATCAGTTTACCATTTCACTAATACTACTACTATCATCACTGTTATTATTACTACTATAATCACCATCACTACAAACATCATCATCATTATCAGCAGCGCGACCACCACTACCAACAACAACAACACCAGCTTCTTTATAAGATAGACAGCTTCAGTCCTTGGATAGCCGGACTTTTCAGTAGACCCCAGGAAACGAAAAGAATCTAAAAATAACATTTAATTACGAAGGAGGATTTAAAAAAAGAAGATATTTTAACACCGTCATCGCATAAAAGAAAAATACCCTCCCTTCCCCCAAAAAAGAAATCAAGAGTGGAGGCAAAAATAATAGTAAAAAAATATTTACGTCCTTGTATTATATATTTATTTACTAAATATATATAAAGAAAACGCATGTGTATATAATATATGTATATGTAATATATAAATATTTTTATATATATATATATATATATATATATATATATATACACACACAAATATTATACTTGTAAAATAATTTCCTCCTTGGTTGGAGTTAAGTAGGGTGGCAGAGAAAAGGATTCTTCAAAACAATAAGGGTATATTAAAAAAGCGATTTTATTGTAAGTTTGGAGAACATTGCACTCGATACGAATCTAAAAAATGTAGTTGCAATATTTTTTATTTGGAAAAAAATTCTCTCTCCTTTCTTCATCTTCCTTTCTATTTTTTCTGCTTCTCTTGCTTTATCTGTAGGTGTATGTATGTCGGTCCGTCTGTGTGTATAAAAACCGGAACGGCACTAGTATCACCATTATCATCATTGTCAACATCATCCATAAAGGCAGCAGCAGCAGCCGTCATCAGTATCAGCAGCAACTGCCGCCTTCATATTTCTCTCTTTCTCTTTTTTTCTCCTAATCTATCTCCTTTTCTCTCTCATCATCATCAGTAGCAATATTATCAGTGGTACTGCTTTACTCACTCACTACTTGCAGTTATAGGTAGTTTCAGAGCCGGTGGCGAAAAGACAAAAATTCGAAGGCCAAAAAGAAAGGCTTTGTTGTTACGTATGTCACGAAAAGAAGAGACCTGCTCTGCTTCATATATATATTTAGAGATAGATATAAAAGGCTGTTTGGTTTGTGCGTATTTTGATGTCGAATGTAATGACTGTTGAAAGAGAGAGAGTGTCCTTACACTTTATGTCAGTCATCCCCAGAGTCAATATACCATACCACAGCTTCAGTCATATCTGTTAGTGTCCACTGGACACTATCAATTTTCTTATTGCTAACTACTTACCGTTCTTAATACTACTACGTACGATTATTACATTTTTCTTTTTAATATTATACTACTACTATTATTATTATTGATACTGCATTGCTTTAAACCCCACGTTGTGACACACGGATTCCCGAGTTGGTACGTACTGGAGGCCCATCCTCACACACTACACAGCATCAGCACCTCCTCCTACGGTGACTACTACTACTACTACTACTGAGAAGTAAAAAAAAGCTAGTCCTCATCCTCCTCCTACAGTGACGACGACTACTGTTACTACCACCACTGTTACAAGTAGTACCTCCTCCTACAGTGACGACGGAGACTACTATTATTACAACTACTACAAGAAGTAGTAGCACCAGGCCAGCAGCTTGTGTATTATTTGTCCCCACCAGCATCATCATCATCATCGACCCAAACCATAACCCTCAAACAACGTTCTGTTCGGATACTATCGCCGTCTCCTCCACGCCAGCTTGGATGAAGTTAACACAATGAGTTCGAGGAAAGGAAAATCGCGAGACGGAAGTAAATCCCGCGAAAACTCTGCCGCGGCTGAAAGGTTAGCCGACTATACTGGAGTGAGCTCGGTACCCCTGGCTGGGCATAGTAGCACTGCCAGCGGCAGCAGCAACATCAACACCACCACTAACAACAACAACAGCAGCAGTACTATCGCTACCAACATCACCTCTACCACAACCACCATTTCTTCTTCTTCTTCTTCTACTACCTCCTTTTCTTCCTCCTGTACCACTGCCAGCACCATTAATACCACCACTACGACCACCACTATCACTAGTACTGGTGCTAGTGCCACCTGTGGTACTACTAGCAACCTGACCACTACAGCACCGACAGGGTCACCCACCAGTTCCAACCCGAGCCCCTCGGGTCTCGAGACCAGCAGGGAAGAGCTCCCATCCAGTCTGGCGTCTGCTACACTTAAAGACAATCAAAAAGAACTTGTCAAGGTATGTGTCTACATCTAATCGGTGTTTTGTGTCATCTTGCGGTATTTTGGGGAAGTGAAAATGCTTCCCACTTGTTCGCTCACTCGCCAGCGATCGTCCATTGGTAGGTACAACTAGTAGTTGGAGGAGGTAGAGGATTACTATTTACCTACCTACCTACCTACCTACCTCCTCCTACTACTACAGGTGACCTGAAGAAAGGTCAGATTCATATTTCTTGCAGTCATCCCTTCCTTTCTATTATTTGATTCTCTTGCTTGAGATATGTGCATTTTATTTTTCATTCATTCATTTTTGCTTACCTATGTGTCCCTATGTTTCTTTATGCTTAACGTGTATCCTTTACTCTCCATAACTAAACGTCCCTTAAACTGACCCCTAGAGATATGGCTACAGTACACAATCATGCAAATCACCTAATTATAATCTTGAGAAAAGTAGCTCAGTGTGTTTTGTTTTTAACGTTTTATTTACGCACTTTATCTTATTTGACATATTCTATAAATTGAATAAAATAAAAACAATAAAAAACATCTCGTGTAAATGAGGGATCATTTTTCACAGTGGGATTTCATTTTTAAATTTTATGATAACGCGATGAAAGGTTAAAAAATAAGTTTTTAACTTGACTACTAAGTAAGTAAACTTATACATTTTTGTTTACCTTTCATAAACTTTATTTTTATAGCTTTCCAGTTTAGCATTTTGTATTATAGTTGAAGTGTGGTTTAAAAAAATCACATTTGCTGGAACATGACCCGTACCGGGAGGGATCAGTCATGACAAAAAGAGTTTTCCTAATAAAAAAAAAATAAATATAAAACGATAACTTGGGAACCAGTGCACTGTGAATATCAATCTGAAATTAAATATCTAGAAAACAATTGTATGTTTTACTTTTAAATTGAATTCTATCAAAATCAGCTGATATGACAATGTAACTTATTTCAGCTTTATTGATGGTGCCCAGAAAATTTTGCCTGCTAAAAAGATAATAACACCAAAAAAAAAAATTACTTCAATACAACTTTCACTTGCAAGAGACTATTTTGTTTGCTACTACAATTCGTCGAATTATTGATATTTTGAAGAGTGGATCCTATCTTCATATTGCTTTCTCTTTTTTTATCCAACGTCAACTGAATGATCTTAATTTCCAGACCATATTTAGCTTGTCTCTGTCAACTTTAGCGTGTACCGCTTTAGGGTCCTATAATTTATCATTTGCCAAGTGAGTAGAGATTCCCCAACCTCCACCACTAGTATTTTAAAAAGGCTTGTGTAAAATATCAGATAACTTATAAAAATAAGTATTTGTATTAGTATTACATACATTTCTTATGGTTTCTTCACAAAGGTAATAGTAGTTTAATGATTAATAAATTATTTGAATACAATTTTATCCTTCAAGGTTTTTACTCTTAAATTTTTTTTTTCGAAATTGCTAATAAATAACACTTAGAAGATAGATGAAAAATCTCTGATATGATTTTTATTTTTTTATGTTTCTATAAATATCTTGAAAGTAATTTTTTATGAAAGGAAAGGTGTCATCTCACACTTTTTAGCATTTTTTTTTTTTGCCTTAAAAAATATTGAAGTTAGTCATGAGTGAAAAAGGTGTTAGTTAAGTATGACAAATATTCTTTTTCTTGTTAATAAACAAGTAAAACCTGTCCTGTATACATGGTTACTACACAATGTTCATCAGGTTAAAAATAAAAAAAATATATATTGATAAAGGTAAAGGACCTCATTAGGCTAGTATTACACAACACAATTTATGAATGATTGCATTGCTCATTGCTACTTTTAAAAAAATGTGTTTATTGCTTTTCTCAAATATTAATGATAAAAAACAGATTTTGATTTTCAATAACTCTTTGTTGACCCTTTTTTTTTTTCCAACTACGTTTTCAAAATTATTCTTTTTTTTTTTATTATCTATTTCAATTCCATACAAATTCGAATTATTCTTTTTTTTATTTTATTGTCTTATTTTAATTTTAAAAACTATACTGACTTGAACCAACTACAGTATGGAAACCTTTTATCTTTAGTTATTTCTATCCAAAATTTTTGTAGACTTTTTATTATCAATCACTATTTCTTAATGTTTTTTTTTATTTAGTAAGCGTCAATAGAGATTACTTTTCTGAAAATTGTAACTGTATTGATTTAGCAGGGCTTATATCCCCTGATTCCTCCTCCTCCTCCAAGTCTATATAAGCACAAAATCTATTGCAGTATTGCACACTTGTCAGTTATACTATATTCTTTGTATCTATTCACAAATGTGCATTCTTATGCACTATTTGCATGTGAAGGAACAGTTCGTCTCTTCTATCAGTTTGTATATCTAGGCATTTGATTTTGACTATTTGAATTCCTGCCTTTCTTAGTAAAAGGTTTAAAAGGGAAAATATTGCAAAAAGTTAAAAAAAAAATATTTTTCAATAAGAAAAGTATTGGGAACTTTTCTTTTTCATTTGCTTGTCATTCTGTTTTCAATAAGAGAAGCATAAATTAACTCTTGATTTTAATGAAGCTATCCAATATGCAAACCATAAACCATCCATGTATTATTTTTAACATATTTATTTGCTATTGAAATACTCTGTATAAAAAGGTTTTTTGGGCTAGAACTATATTCTAATTTTCGTGTGCTAGAATTGAACACTGCATAAATTATTTAAAACGTTTTCTACTAGCTGACATTTGGTGCAATTTTTTTTTTTTTTTTTTAAGAATGTAACTGTTCCCTTTTCTTTTCTTTTTTTTAAGTCCATTGTTGCTAAATCCAAGGTTACCCATACTAATATTATGAAAGGCTGGCTATTATTACATTGTTAAGGAATCCCCATTCTTATTTTTTTCATTGTTCTCCTTTTTTTTTTCTTACACATAAATCCTTGAACAGCAAGTAACTGCATAGTTAGAACAAATATTCTTTCATTGTCTTTAAATTCTATTTAAGTAAGAACCTTAACTCAAGCTCATTTGCTAGTTTTGTTTATTTTTGGTTTGCTACAAGAAAATTTGTCTAATTTAGATTTTTCCTTTTGAGTGGGTGGGCTGGGAATGGCCGAATCTCTCTATTTCATGTGTAATTTGGTAGCTGCCATTATGCTATGAGACGAATCCTATTGAGTTGTTGTATGCAATTTTGGCTGATTTGAGATAAAATTTAGATTGGCTCATGCCAGACATTAAAAGAAAAATCTCTCCTGTAAAGATTGTATAATTAATGACGTAACTCACTAGGAACACATCTTAGTGACTTTTTTCTTTCTCAATATGGGTGGTGTGGATTTGACCATCAAACTAAATGACACTCACAAGTAGGAAGTGATTAAGTAGTTTTTGCTTAGAATCTCTTCAGGCCTTTTGTGAAATTATTTTTACAATATATTTTGCTTGATTGTTTTTGTGTATTTGTAAAATCAATGCTTCTCTAGTATAAAAAAAAAGCCAAGATAGGAGTTGCATGATAGAGATCTTCATTAAATGCTTTGTTGTTTGGACTAACATGCTCATCTTGGTTGTTTTAATCCCCCTCCCCTTCATCAGCTGTCTTTCTTCATACTCAGTAACCTTTTTAGAATTTTGAATCAAACCCTTTATTCAATTCACAGGTTCCTTGCACTTCATTTTCCATGCTTAGAGGACATTCCATATCTGTTCATACTCTTATTCACCTTTTTGCTGCTGGTTTGTTTCTTTCACTGAAGAAGAGTATGTGATTTTTCAGCACTACTAGACCCCAAAATTGAACTCACAATTACCAAGGAGTTCAATGTTTTAATCAATGCTTTAATTCACTAGGCCACATCTTGAAATTCTGTGCCTTAAACCTAATGTCTGTATTCAGGTGGTGGGACTATGAGTGTTTGGAATTTGGAATTTCTTTTGGGTGTTCTTTCTTTCTTGATTGGAGGCTCCCAAATTTTTTTTGTCTATTTGCAAAGCTTTCTGAAGAGATTGTCAGTGTTTAACATGCACTGATTCTTTCAGTTGTTTTATCCTTCAATATTGTCCTTTGCCTATTATCTTGACTTCATTCCACAAGGTTTTATGACCCCCCCAAATCAACCAAACCAGATTTAATTTTCTCTCCCAGGACAACTGCTTTTTGATGTTCCAACCTTACTTTTTTTTTAATTTTTTTTTTTTTTTTTTTTTTTAAGTCTCGCCTTCGTATTCCTTGTCACAACTGCATGGGGTGGAATACACATACTGTTATGAAATATCCCCTAAGCATGGAAAGTGGAATGAAAGTAATCTATCACCATGGATAAAGAATAAAGAGGTTGGTTTGAATTTCCAAGAAGGTTACTGAGTACAGGAACCTGATGACAGCCAAAGTGTTGTCAGTATAACAGTCAAGATGCGCATGCTAGTCTGAATAACAAAATGTTCATTGTTCAATAACTGATGCTAAGAAGAGATGAATTTATGACAACTAGTGACAATCATTTCTCTTTACAAAAGTTTAAAGTAATTAAAAATATTTCATTTATATAAGCAAATAAAATTAATTACCTTAGCTTTTAAAGGTTTGTAGAAAATGCGGACAGATAATAGCTAAGCATCAAGTTATTGATAAAATAAAAAATTGGAACGTGATAATTTTGTTTTTACTGCAGTTTGAGAAGAGACAACAAAAAGACAGTGTTATACATATTTTTGTTAGCTCAAAGTTAAACTTAGCTAATGTGTAAAATGTTTTTTGTTATTTTGTCTGTTTATAATTGTAGTCACTTTAATGAAAAATGCATAAGATTAATAATCCCAAACTTTTAGCCTGTATGATTATTACACAATTTATAAACATGATTTTTTTTTTTGTCTTTGTTACAATTAGGATGCTTTTAATGCATTTGTGAGCATTATTTAATATATTAATTTCAGTTGAATAGCACTTAAAAAAATCTTCAAATCATTTTCAAACTATTTTTGTATTTTTTTTTTTTTTTTAATGAACTTTTGACAAAAAATTGATTGGAAATAAAAAAAAA